TTATAACCTACCTTTAGGTTACCATATAAACGGCATAAAGATCGTAGGAGTATCCAAACTACATATGTATATATGCAAAATTATTGGAATAGGAGAAAATTATCAAAAAGAAAACTCGAGAAGAATTGCGAATAGCTTTATGAGATTAAAACTGGAATACTTTAACACAAAGAAATATGGTTCGCTTTTAAAGACATCCCATCCTATACTTAACACTTTAAAGAACTTTTTTCATAAGACACCAAATTCCTCCTCTTGCTTATTCTGTTCGAAACCGATTACACATTTTTGGTCTGCAATAAATTATATTTTACTTATCCCATAAATTACATGTCCTTTTATTTAAGACCCAACTCCCCCAGCACCCTGTATCAAAGTAAGTGTGTTTGTGTGACTGGCACTTTCTTGTCTTGATAAGCGATTTGCATCAGTGAAAATGGAGCATTTTAGAGCCGGAGACCGCCGCCAAAGTGTGAATGCACCGCAGGATGTTGACTTTACATCCACTCTGACTAGCTCAAAAATACGCCTATTATAGTAATTATTATGTCAATAAAAGAGACACGATCTTTTGGCAACATAAATACATATATAGATTTCCTTATTGACCCACTAGTTTCGAGAGCTTAATTAAAATCGTATGAAAATGCAATTTATGGTTTGTTTGCAATGAAATATTTTGTTTGCTGCTGAAATTTCCTTGAATTTTTGTGGTTGGCAACTAAGATATGTAAATCTTGTTATTGAATGGTTGCAAAGATCTGGATTTCGAATCTAGTTTAAGCTTTTCGAATCCAACCGAAAGTGGTTTCAACTGACGTATCCAGCTAACTGTGAAGCCGGCACTCGAAACGCTCATAACTATCTCTCTCACCGATGATCATGATCACGATGACGTTGTCATCAAACAAATAAACAAACAAACAGTGAATAAAAACAGAGAACGTGTTCTGTAATCAAGTATGCGAGTTGAGGCCAATTTCTTTGGAGTTCTAAATTGTGTTAATTGCCTAAAATATTTAAAAGAATAGGAGGATCTTAATTAGATAAATTAGAAAAAAAAAGGTGTTTCAATTAAAGCTTTGCAATTTTTGTAAAGCAACATTGTGAAATAACTTAATCTTTACTCATATTTATGGAGTACAATACTCTAAGTACTCTAAATAAATATGAATGAATTGCCTTATTTGATAAGAAGTTTGCTTAATTACCAATTGGTTCTTATCCATATTTTTGCTTTAAAAATAAATTGTGAAGCCCCGGGAAAGCTAAGCAAACAACGACCCCCAATCAATCTGTTCTTGGAATTTCCTGCTGGCCCACTTATCAAAAACCAAAACATATGTTCAAGAAACTACAAGGTTTCTTCTCCACATACATATATACATTTTCTTTTTTGTACTTCAAACTAAGTTCTGTTTCGAAGCCCACTGATTAATGTCGCAATGCCAGTATACTACAAAATACAACCGAGATGAAAAGAAAACGAAAATAATAAGAAGCGATTTGCGGTGGCTGTTTGTTATCGTTTCGCCAGCAGCTCGTACAGCGATTTCAAGTTTGTTAAATCGAATTTCGCCAGCGGCAACAGCTGACTTGCTTCCTTCGAAATGCCAAGAGCGCAAATGCAAATATAAATGAGAAAAAAATTAAATTCAGAATGAAAACAAACAGAAATTGTGCCCGCATATCATATGCCCGATATATAACTGTAAATGTAAATGGTGTCTCTCCATTTGAGGCTTATCGAATAATGAACGCGCGCAAAAATAACTCATAAATAAATAATTAACATGAAATACAAACGATCCAAACTGTGTGTGTGCGAGTGCCAAGTGATTTGAACTTTGAAGGCAAGACAAGTTGGGCCGAGTTATGAATTTATCTAAAATCACAGCATGTTGTCGTTGTCGTGGCTATTTTCCATTTGACAAGTGGTCTGGCCCAAGTGTCAGACATGATAAATCATATGAATATACGTCTGCGAAATTGATACGATATTTTTTGGGGGATCATTGAGGCGGCGAGAAAGGCCGGGGCAAATGTGAGTTGGAAAAGTAACTCAAGTCGCATATTAGGTATACGCCGCGTTGCCCGTCGAGCGAAACTACAGCGTTTAGCATCTTCTGGGCCGAGAAACCTGTATGGCCGGGTTCTGAAGAAGTTGACCTTATACAATATATTTTCGAGAGAGAATATAAAATAAAAAGCAAAATTGATCAGTTCTCGATTTGACAGACAGAAGACGTTGCCAAATCGTTTGGTGGGGCCACCTTGAAGTCGAGTTCATTCATCTTCGTTTAGCATAGAAGTTTAGCAGGTGACTGAGATGGGCTTGGTGGATTTGAATAAAAATGAATAACGCTTATGAGCCGCACGAATTTTAAAAAAAATAATTTTATTACAAATTTTATTTTTGAATTTAGTAATAATATAAAAATTGTGAGATATTGTTATCTATCTTGAAATACAAATATCAAAGAAATAGAGGTTTATTATAAAATTTCTTACTAAATGTTAATCGAATTTTCTTAGTGGTCTTAAAAATCTATAGAGACTTTTATTACTTCAAAAAGAAACATTAGTAATTTATAATATATAAAAATTATTTATCACTAATTAAATTCATAAATGGGATCGGATTGGTTTAATGTATAAGAAACGATCTCGATATGAAGTAATTGAAAAGCTATCAAACCTATTCAATAAATTATTAAAAATCAGAATGGGTTCTCAAATCACACTTCTTGTGCAATCTGAGTGGTTTCAGTCAAGGTGTAGCCCATAAACCTATCGAACAGCAGCCACCGATATCGGATATCGTTCTCGGCTGCCTTGGGGCGCCACATCAGGCGGAAATCTGGCATCAGAATGGCCCAAACGGCAGACAAAGGTGCAAAGTCCGGGCCAAAAGCACCTGAGGCATTAGCTGCAGTTGCAGTTTGCAGTTTGCAGTTGCCACCTGCTGCAGCCTCCCCCTTTCCCCACCCCTCCTCTTCTATCGCGGGACAATTCAAGTACAAGCGAATACCAATGAAAATATTTTTGTGGCTGTGTTGTTTGCATGGAAACGTGATAGCAAAAGTTGTTGCTGACCGGGCCAAGTTGCTGTTGCCGTTGTTGTCGTTGTTGCTGTTGTTGCTGGCCGCATCTGCTTGTGGAATTTATTTATCGTTAAGAAATGCGTGTAAAATAAGTGAAACTATTGGGAGTCTCAAGACGCTGACCAGTTTTCGGTGGGGTAAATAAGAGGGGTAGGGTAGCTAATGCCACCACTTTTGATAAAAATGTTGGCCTAAGCCAGTTACTTGTTGCTGCTGTTGTTGCTGTTGATGTTGCTGATGACCAGTAGCCACTTAACTTGGCCAAAAGCGGGGTGAGGCGAGGCTGGTCGGCAAATTATTGCCGCATTGCTTAGTTGTTGTTATCAGCAACGTGATTTGCCAGGCCAAGATGTAGATGGAGATGGAGATGGAGATGAAGATGGAGATGGAAGTGGAAGCCAACTTCAACTTGGCTGCTTCATTGCGTGCTCACGATTTTTATTTCATTTTTGTCGAATTTCCGAAAGTGGTAGACCTTCATGGTCTTTTCGTCAGCTGTTGCTATATATGTTTATGTTGCTGCTGTGTTGCTAGTGTTGATGCTGTGTTGCTTCTATGTTGCTGCTGTTGCTGCTGCTGCTGCGCCACTGCGGTTGCTTAGTTTTGTTATCGGGTTTTCTTTTTGTGCTTTGCACATTTCGAAGCTATCAATTTCACACCTAGACAACGGGTTTTCTGCGCTTCGCAAATGCAAATCGCAATTAATAGACTAATTGAGCCTAGTGGGGTGAACTTTAACACTGATTTAGTAGCCCCAATCAAATTAGCAAGGCAAATCGTATAAAACGATACAGATCCAGATTCAGAGTCAGATTTCGATTCTGATTCTGATTCCGATTCCATCCCGTGTGTGTGGGATGGCTTATGCAATCGTGATCGATGTCAAACCAAACCCAACCCCAGCCACGCCCAGCCAGTCACATATAATTATTCAATTAACCAAATGGCGTCATAAATTAACAAGTGTATGGCATATGGTCAAAGGGTTTTACCATGGCCAATGTCAGTGTCAGCCGCTAATTGTGATTGGTGTGGAATGCCGTTGATTTAGTTCATCACTTGGCCCCCATGAATATGCATTTGACACTCGATATCCACATGTCTCCGGAGATAATGTCCGCGGGCTGGAGATAGAATTTCACTTTTTTTTCCAGAGACTGCAGGCAAATCCGAACAAACAAGCGCATTGATATCCAGTTTGCGGAAGAAACTTATCAGTTAAGACCAAACTAATTTTTTGATAAGACATATTTAAATCTAAATATTACACAACTCAAATGTTATTTTCTGCATTTTTGACATTTCTTATAGAAGACATTTGAAATAAATCGATGACAAAAGTTTTGTTTTCGGTCTTATATTTATGTTGATTTTATTTCATCATTACTTAAGCCCCGTTTTCTTATAAATCTCTTCAAGACTTCTACTTTATTTGTCAAAACAAAAAAAAAATATTTTTTTCTATATATATTGGTTTAACTTGATCCATTTTTTATGAAATGGTAGCTTGAAATTGGTAAAGAAAAATGTTACGGATAGTCTTGTTTGAAAATAATTATATTTTAATATTTCCCATATTCTTAGCGAAATTACTGAGTGTTAATAGGTTCCCCAAAAATAGTGCCTAAACTAATCAACTCAATTTTTCCCCTTTTAAGTTGTATATTAAATACTTGAACCCACGCATTTCTTCAAGACTTGTATAAATTATCAGCTTGCCTCAGTGCCTATATACACACAAATGTATATATATGTATATGATTCATTTATTAACCCGAGTTCCAGTTTTCCCAGTCAGCTGTTTGACAGTCGTTCAATTGGCGATTGATCTCGAATTGGACACGCGGCCACCATGGCGTATGCGCATTATTTGCTAGCATTTTCAGTATGGCTTACCTGGTGCACCTGTTGCACGCCGATCAGTTACGCTCCAAAATCCACAAATCCTTTGGCTGCAACTGCAACAACAACCAATTCTGGCAGTTCGCGAACGTTGCATACATTATACACAGGTTCGACTCAGATATCCACAAGATACTTCGACCTATCTCTCTATGGCGATTTCGATTTTAGCTTATGGAAATCACTGGCACTTCACATGGTTGCTGATGATGATGATGATCGCTGGCCAAGCTTAGATTTTTGGCTACTTTGCTTTTGGATCTGATACACACAGATACATCACTCGCACCAACACACACACACACACGCGAGATACAAGCGTTGGATACGAATATATTTATTTGATTCCGAATCGGTATCAACAAATCGGAGAGGCTGACGATGAGCGATCGCGGAAACGAGAGAACTTCGAGAGATGTGTTTTTGTGCTGTTCTTCAGGCGCGACTATCAGCGATAACTCTTATTTTTACTTTATTTAATGGCCGCAAAAACCGCGAAAGATTACAACAGCAGAAAAAAAGTGATTAGAGACTATGGGGATTCGTGTCAGGCGGCTTGTAAAATGCGATCTTTTCGATTTGGCGACACACACACTCTGGACGAACGCTTTTTCGGTTCCGTACAACGAGCGTTGAGCGCAAAAAACTGAATGAGCGTCCAAAGCGGCCGAGGCAAGGCAAACAGGCAGGCAAAAGCGATCCGGAGACGGAGCAGAGCCGAGCAGCAACAACAGTACACCAGCAACAGCACAGCACAGCACAGCAGCAACAGCAACAGCACGGCAGCAACATCGGCGGCCCAGCAGCAACTACAAAAACAACCAGCAGCTAGTTAGTTAGTTTTGAGCTCGTAGTTGTGAGAGTCGATCGCATATATACTCTCGAACACAAAAGCAGTTGCTTAAGTCGCTCAAAGCGCCATTTAAGTTGAGTAATTAAAACAAGCGAGTGTTTTTGTGTGTGTGTGTGTGTGTGCGAGTGCGATTAATTATTAATCAAGCCGAAAAAACAACAAGCAACCGCTAAGGCAACAATAACAAACAAGCCCGACTCACAATTACAATATTTCAACTCTCTCAGTCGCCGTCTTCGGTCCACAGCCTCCAGTTTTCGGTCTACAGTCTACAAAGACTTCAGTCTTTGGTCTTTAGTCTTCTGTCTCAGCTGCGATCTCGACTTTCTTTGGGCCTCTCTTCGAGCTTTAGCTGTTACACATTTGACTTTTCGGCGCTGCGGCAACTGGTTCGGTTTATTTTTGGCTCTAAATCTCTGGCTCCGACTTCTCGAGACTGCAGCGCTGCTAATGCAAATCTAAATTGATTGCAAAATGCTTAGAGTCGGAGTAGACAATCTTTCGAGTCCATCGGCGTTGCCGGATTGTTTGGCTAGCTAAAACTATAGAAACTAGATCGAGTTTAGATAGGCTGAAGTGAGAGTTTTATAGTAAGTGGAGTAACACACACACAGAAAAGAGAGGTATCAATTAAGTAATTCGGGAAATGTATATTGAAAGATAATTGCATTTTATTTAAATAGGAAAATAATCATTTAACTTGAAAAATGTTTCATCCTAGACAATAAATGGAATTGTAAATAAATACAATAATAATACAAATGTTATAAATAATTTTCACATTGTTTTTCCAAATTTAAACTTCGACGAAATCAAACATAAACGATAATATGTACTATATCAATCATACGCCTCATGAGCCCAGCTTACAGCAATCTGGCAACACTTTCTGCCCAAATCCATGCAGCAAACTTAATTGATGTTGCTGATCTTGTAGCGCTCGTTGCTGTTGCTGTTGCTGCTGCTGCTGCAGCGTAATTAAAATATTGCACTTGTTAATTTTTCCAGCTGCTGCAAGTGTCTCCCCGTCTCTTTCCCACAGCCTTTCCTTTCATATTGTCTTTGCCACAGGAACACAAGTGCAACAACAGCAGGCCAAAGGAGTAGAAAAAGCACAACAAGCATGCTGACAACATCGACTTCATTCGCTGTGTGCCGTGTATTAAAACTTGTTCATTGGAATTTTCTAATAAATCAATAAACGCAGACAACACAGTGCTGGGGGGGGGCTCCAAAAGGGGGTTCCGGGGGCCAGCGTTGTCTTGGCACACAGCTGGCGGCATCGACAGACTGAGGGGCAGACCGACGGACAGATAGCCGCACGCATCTCGCAGATTGCGCATTTTATAAATAGCCGCCGCATTTTTTTTTTGAGGTTATGGAAAATTTTAGTTGTTGTTATTATTTCTTGCTGTTTTCCTTTCCAACTCGATCACCAGATCGCGATTGTAGGCTATGGCCAAGCGGCAGCATTGACAACACTTTCACACACTCACTGCACTTAGGGAAATACATATCTAGAAAATAATTAACTTTATCCCGTACCACAAAAATCTCTAGAGGCTTAGACTCATTAAAAAAGGTATACTGTAAAAAATGTATTACAATCTTTAAGGCATCCTAAAAACATTTTTTAATTCTAATCTATATATTTATTTTCCTTAAAATTAAAACAATCATTGGTATATATTTGGTAATTTATAAATACAAATACAGATATTGATAATTTTGCAAGCCAAGGAGTCTTAATGTTGTAAATTTAACCTAATTGGTTTAGAACTGTCTACATCAATTTTAATATCCTTATCTTTAAATTAACATTACAAGTTTACCAATAAAAATATATGTGTTTTTCTTTCCGTGTAAAAATTGTTGCTTGACGGCCCGCATTTCCGTAAATAAAGCGCTTGGGAAGTGGCAATTAAGTTAACTGTGGGCTGGCCCAACAATCAGGTAAACGCTGCAAATTGAACGCCAACCGATTGGCATTTTCTACATTTATTTTTCTATATACACATACTTATATTATTACCTAACTTCCTATTCTTTTTACACGACAGCATTATGGCATTTCGATGCGGTAATAAACGTGGACGCTTAATTTTGTGTGCGTTTATCGCGACGGCAACAATGTTGCCACTAAATTTGCCATGTTCCAGGCCGATATGCTAATAGGTCTAATAGCTTTCGATTTGGCCCGCTTTACATGCGACGAGTCCGTTCGGCACATTCTAAATGTAAATAAAATGGAAATTCCTTAGAGTGGCACCAACAGCAAGCTAAATAGAAAAAAAATCAAGTGGAGAGGCAAAAACTTGTAGAACAGGAGGAGGCACTTGTTGAGAACTTGGCTGCCTTGTTAAACGAGCCTGCAACACCCCAGCAGCAACAGCAACAACAACAATAAACAATGTTGCAATGCTTAATTATTTCAGCGGCAAGGAATTCCTCGGCGCAAACTTGAACTGCTTCTGGACCGTGGATGTTGCATGTTGCTGCTGCGGTTGTTACTGTTGCTGCTGCTGCTGCTGCTGCTGCTGCTGCACCAGCAACTCGATTGCGCTGCCTTACACTTGAGGTCGTCTGCTGCCGGATTTTTTTTTGTTTTTATTTTTTTCAGGTAGCCAGAGCGAGATGCAGTCCTCAATCTCAATCTCAGTCACGTTGGTCAACGGCACCGAAGCGTCTGCGGCCAAGTCCCTTTACCGATTTTGCTGTTGCGGTCTGCCGCACCTATTTGTAATGCATTAATGGCCCAGAGCTCAAAGATCTGAGAAAAAAGTCCCAGAGCCCCGCAAAGAGCCGATTGACATTAAGCTGCCCATTCGGCATATGGGTAGATCACTGCTTTTGATAAATGGCAAGTAGCAGCCAGAAATTATTAATGCCAACATCGGTTAGCCATAATTGTTTCGATGAACATCAGTACTCAAAATGTTGCAAGAGCGGTAAAGTTTTATGGGGAGCTAAGAGCTCTGTCGAAAACCTTTTGAAACTTTATTTCTATGTTAGATGCTTTTCTAAAGACTTGAGTGTTGCATGTTCAAATAACAAGCATTACCAAACCTTTCATCAAGACCTTAATTATTTACACACCCACCAAATAGATGGATCAAGAACTATGATCGGCAGAGAAATATATAATATATATATATCTGCTTTTAATTTTATTATTATTTTTAAATATATTATTTCTGTGGGGTTTTTGATTTTTTTATATAGCAGGCCGAACTATGGAGCTCAAAGCAATTTAAACTAGACTCGTTCAGATACTACCAAGCCCTTGAGCTAACAACACTTACAAGCCACAAAATCAAAAGTTCGATATACAAAATTAGGAACGATGAACGGTATGAATGAATTTAAGTTGGTCCTTATTGGCGAAGCGAAGGTTGGGAAAAGTACCCTAATGGGATGCCACCTATTTGGTAAATTCCAGAAGAACTATGAGCCCACGTTGGGAGTGGATGTGAACCCGTTGACCTTTAAAACCGACCACGGAGAGATTCGCTTTATGGTTTGGGACACCGCTGGCCAGGAGCGATTGGGTGGAATGCGCGATGGATACTACATTCAGGCCCACTGCGCCATTATGATGTTTGACGTGACCTCGCGAACCAGCTACGATAGATTGGAAAAATGGCATCGTGATCTGGTGCGCGTCTGCGGCAATATTCCGATTGTGATATGCGGCAATAAAGCGGACAGCCTCTTTGAGGCTGAAACTTTTGTAAAGTTTTACCGCCAGAAGCAACTTATGTTCTTTAAAATTTCGGCCAAATCGAACTATAACCTGGACAAGCCATTCCTCTATTTGGCGCGGCAGTTGCTTGGTGATCGGAAGCAAGAGGTGGCTAAGCATCCTTCGTTCCCAAAGTTGATCATGACCGCAGAACAGTTGTCGCAATTGCAGGAGGATCTCAAGGCGGCCAGAGCCTGCGATTTACCCCCAGAAAGCGATGACGATTTGTAGGAAGCCTCTTTTAATTGTGTTCAAAATTCATCATAAGTGGTTGTCGGGTAGTAAAGATCAGATCTCGTCGTAGACCTTCTCCGGCACATGCAGCGAAACTGGTCACAGACCCTGTCGTCCTTACCATCGCAAATATAAGGTGTATTTTCCTCCAGAGCCATCGTAAAGGAGACGCTGAGGAGCAGAAGACCGAGTGCCAGCCAGTTCATCTTTCTCCAGCTAATTTTAAGATTTTAAACTACAGACTGTGTAAAGCTTTGTCAAGCAATGATAGACTGAAGCGTACCTAAAGTTTTTAACATATTTTATGGATGGATACCGAGTCGAATTTTAATTTATACGAGTTTTTCAAAATTAATTAGCTGCTATTTATATACTCTAAATTTTATATTGTATTTTGATTAAAATGTAAACTGATAAAATCAACGCCCGTTATTTATACGCTCGGTATAAATAGTTAAAATTTATTGTATTTAATTCTACAAAGGATTATTAAAACATAAATGAGTTTTTTATTTTGTTAATATATTTTAAGGAATATCTTAGAGAACTAAGCTGTTGTTTTAAAAACAATGGACGTTATCCAAATTTGTTTGCCCAATTACCAGCGCTGTGTCAAGTTCATTGCCACAAGAGTTCACCATTCTTGAACCCCTTAAAATCTGCCCAAATACTACCCCACACATCTGCTTCAAATTAAGAGATTCCATCTGAAGTCTTTAAATGTGACTCATATGGGGGTTAGTCAAGATGTTTTCCCAGCAATATGCAAATTGCTTTCCGTTCCTTTTCTCGAATTTGTATCCATTTGCCCCCAACTAAGGCATGTGACACGAGCGTTAATTGAACTTTGCCTATATTATATTTGTTCGGAGTGAACTTTGCCATTGTCTAGACAAATTAAGAACAGACGAACGAATGAAATTTATGTATGTCGCCTCGCAGGCGGTGCGGTGAATAGTGTTTAATTGTTAGCTTTGGGGCCACGCGGCGTATGCGCAATGTTCCCAGTGCCTTTCAGCGCTTTTTTGAGCGTACATATGTGATAAGCGTCGTCAGTTTGTCTGGCGATGAGATCGCTGGCAGCTGCTATTTAGTGTTCGGTATTCTGGGTGTGATGTCATAAGTCAACACAAGAAGAATCTATGCTATATGGCGATCGGATCGGGGATCGTTAATTAAAATTTCCAGCGAGTACTTCATTAGCATCGTCGTCAGCTGCCACGCGTTGCTCAGCTGCCGCGCTCCAATGCTTAATTAATAAATCAACGCGACACTTGCACTCCATGGCCGATGGCCGTATCTGCTTTCCCGATGATGGGGAGGATGAGATGCTCGCCGAGATTGTTGCCATGCCCGGCCAGACAAATTGACGCGACATTCCATGAGCATGGCCCGTGGGAGGGGAGTTGCTGCTGGTGGTCAGTGGCTAATAAAAATGTTAAATATAGCAGCCGCCGATGATGACATCTGTGCCATCCGAAGCGGAAACGGAAACGATTCTAATCGCCTGCCACGGATCTCGGAGTGGGCCCTCCATGTCCACCAGTGGGCAGCTCAGCTCTTAATTGAAGGCAGTCCATTGACACATGAGGCATGTAATGAGAGCAACATCTTCCTGGTAATCTCTGAATATATAGACTTAATCTTATATTTTTAATGTTTACTTCTGAAGCTTTCTTATAAACATATGTTCACCTTAAATTAAAGTAAATAAGTTTTCATAGGTGCATTTAAAATATATGTATTTGGTTTTTTATAAAAATGAGTACATTACAATTTTTCTTAATTCTAAATATAATTGCAAAAAACATACGAGTTTATTATGTATTAAAGAAATGTTTCAGATTGTCATTAAATCTTTAAAAAAATGGCTTAAAGAAAACAATATAATTTGTTTGGTCTTCTGGTTCAAATTAAATTTTTTACTTAATAAATATATTTCCCCTATTGATGGACCCTTGACTCATTCACTTTCCAGCACAAAGCATTTCTGCAGTCAATTCATCGTTGAGACAAATGACTTTTGTGCGCAGCAGATAGATATCTCAGACATGTCATAGTATAGTTTCAAAGGAATCAGAACTTAGTCATCTCCGCTTTCGGCTAATGCATATCTAGAGAATGTAGTTAATAACAAACCTAGTCGAGCAAAAATAGCACAAGAGATTGGCTGGCGAATGTGATTATTTAATAATTGTGGCAAATGCGCGGAATTATAATTATACTATACAGCTATACCGCACGGAGTAAACAATAAGAAGCGTTGATAGAAGCGGGCAAAACAATCACAATTAGAAAAATATGCAGTCAAAGTGTTAGCTAGTAAAAATTGCTAAATTGCAACTGGGCGCGCGTCGCGTTTTAGTTTTTCAGTTGCTAAAAATAAAGCGAAGCAAATATATTTACATTTTTAATTGCAATTATAGCTGGCTATTGTTGTAGTTGCTCGCTGGCTACTGTTTGCCTTTGGCGTTTCGAACAATTAAGATGATTTATTAGCAGCGCATTTTTATGAGACGCAGTACAAAAGAAATGGAAATTAAATGGAAATTACTCAGATATATTTATGCTCTGTGGTGATCGCATATACAAATTGATTTATCACATCTGTCGCCTGGCACATAATTACAATCAAGACAATTCCAAGCTGATTTCATAACCGGAGACGAAAGCTAATTGCCATTTTATGCTGTCACTGGAGAACGTCTCAGAGCATAAAGATCACAAAATTATTTGAATTTGAATGGATATTAAAAATGTTAATGAAAAAAGTCGTAAAAATTTCATAGAGCAAAATTAAAGAGGAAAATCGTAAAAACAAATTTAAACGACTATTGCCCGTCTGCGGTTCAAGAGCAGCTCCATTAACGAACTGCCCCACATATATAAGTATTTATGAGCGGGCGGGGCGGTACACTAAGGCACTACCAGGAAATGCAGATCCATCACATTGGTTCCCGTGTGGCCAGTGAGCACGTGGTGGTCGCCCTGCGAGAGATTCTTGTAGAAATTGTAGCTGTCGCAATTGCGCAGCGTTTCGGCCAGTTCATCGAGCGTATGATCACCCAGATACGACTCCACCACACTGCTGTCTCCAATGGCGCCAGCTGCATCGGTGGGTCCATCGATGCCATCGGTTCCGGCGCTGAGGAACGTGCAATCCCTCAAGGCCTCGTCGCGGTGCAGAGCCTGCGACATCAGCAGGGCCAAGTGCTGACTCCTGCCGCCCAATCCTTGACCAGTAACCTAGAAAAATAAGGTAAGTTAATCATCAAAGGCATTTTTGAAAGTGGTACTACAAACTTTTATGACCGGTTCGCCTCCACAGATCAGGAATAGTGGCTTCTTGCTGCTTAAGTGTTCTTCTAAGGCCCGCCTAAAGCCCGGGAAACTCTTCTCCCCGAAGGCGTACTTCTCCCTTAGCTGCGGATCACGAATGCCCTGATGTTTGGCCTCCTGGATGCCCTGCAGCAATCGTTGATAGTCGCCAGCCACTTGGGCAACGTCTCCTTGAACGCCGCAACTAAGAATGCAGGGAATGTAGCCAAGTTTTTCTGCCTCCAGGGCGGCCGTTGAAGTGGCTATCACATTACTGCCCACCACAAAGATCTTGTGCTCCGGTAGCAAAGGGTTCTCCAGGTGTTGCGTTGTCTCAAAGACCTGCTGTATCTCCGGGGATAGCTCATCCCACACCTGGTGTTTCCTGAGGATGTCGGAAGGGAAGGCTTCAGCCACTGGTTGAATGGTGGGACCGCAGGCTATCAGCTCTAGGGGATCTCCTATGATGTCGCTCAGCACAAAGGTCACAAGGAGTCCGGCTTGGCCGGCAAACCTGGCCAAGCGTCCGCCCTTAATGTCCGAACAGGCAATCCTCACGGCGTTAATCTCCTGGATGCTGGCTCCTCGTTTCATCAGTTTATCTGCAATGGAACGCTTATCATCCAGAGTTAATGGTGCCCGCGGCAAGGGCAGTAGAGCAGATCCTCCTCCTGAAATGAAGACGAAGAGGACGTCCTGGGGTGTCATCTTTTTGGCCAGTTCTTTGATTTCCTGGGCTGCTTTTAGGGCACCCTCATCCGGGAGATTGTTGGCTGCTCCTTCGTGGATATTCAAACCAGATGCAATGGGTTGTTGGAACTGTTTTAGAGTGTTGACGGGAACACTTAGGACTCCGCCGGCCGAAGAGGCTCCCAGATCCTGATGCACTTTGTTGGCCATTCCCAGGACGGCTTTGCCGAATCCCACGATATGGCAGGTCTTTCCACTAATATCCTGTCGCTCTCCATTCAGTTTTATGGAGATTTCGTTGGGGTTTTCCCCGACATGGGGACGCAAATCGAACTTCTGGAAATCGGCAAATATCTTCTCAGGATGCACGGCATTCACCGCCTGAACGAAGATCTGACGCATTTGATCCCAAGTCTGTCGCTTGGCCATTATGTAAGGTGCTACGGACACGGGCGATCCTAATCAGCGATGCTAAAAATCCAGTTTTACTTATCATTTTCGAAGATATTATATATTTATTAGTGAGACCGTGAGCGGAAGATCTAAATATACCAAAAGGAAACGGGGGCTCCCGAAATTAATTAAAATTTGTTTTTAGATTTTTCGTTACTTCCGGTTAGCTATCCATATAAAATGCATATTACAAATTCTCGTAAGTTGTGTTAATATTTCTGGAATAATTTTCCTATTCGTAAAAGATATTTAAATAAGTTTCAGGAATCCCCTTATTGTTTTAATGAAATGTGACACGGGCAGATTGCTATTGCACTCATTGTTTTATGTTAAGTTAACAGAGTCTGTTAATCTAAAAGTAGTTTAAAATAAATGTAACTGAAAATTACAGCAGTCAAATTGAATAAACTAATTTAAATAGAGTGTGAGTAAGTTGTATGCCACATTTTGCAGCAGTAGTTAAACTCAAACGGGCGCGAATGCTAGTGAAAATTAGCATTAATAAACTGACAATTTATAAATGTGTTGGCTAAGCAAATGACCTAACTAATTAGCTTATAAATTGTTTTATTGATTATTTTTTATGTGCACACGATGGATTAGTTAATACTTTACTTTCACTGGCTTCGAAAATAGTTCAACCGTAGAGGCCTGTAGATTAATTAGCAAATTCACACTTTTTGTTTGCCATTATATTTTGTTTCAAGATATTTGTTATTGTTCAATTTTTTTTAATCATAAAAACAATTATTAATATATATAAATACAAATAAAAATCACAAGACTGTATAAAAGACAGTTGAAAACGTGCCAGTATTTTGCTTTCAACAGTAAAGTTTTTAAATGTCACTAATCCTAAAGTCTTTAAATAAATAAGTATAAATATTCTACTATTTAGACTGGGAATAATGAAAGTAATGAGTATCAATGCTTTTAAGTAAGAGCTACTTTGCAATTACACTAATGGGCTGGGAATAGAAAATATTAAAGTCACGAGAGTTTCCCAAGAGAATATGAAATTTCAGATTTCATGCTGCAAGCCATATCAATTGCTTTTCAAAGCGAAAACTAATCTTAAGACCCCTTAAAACTGGCCTATTAAGTCACTTATTTGCAATGAATTTCCAAACACATCAGTTCCGCCAACCACGCGAACCTCGACTACTTTCGTTCTTGTTTGACACCAATCGAACCCACCATTTGACACCACCATTTGCCCCTGTGTGGGTGCTTATGTATGCCAGTGGCTCAATCATTTACCAATAGACACACCACCAGGCAGATCGCCACCTGCGATACCCGCTCCACTTAAATAGCAACCACTCTCGGTGGCCGGAACCCAGTTCACACACAGCCTTAGAAGTACGAGTACGAGTATATGGGCCATGAAGTCGACGGCGTGGTTCTCTTTGCTGGGTGAGTGGATCTAAAAGCCCCAAAATATTGCATGATTATGGTGTTTCCTTTATCGTTGGACAGGTTTTCTTTGGAGTGTGTCTGCCAACCCGCTGGTGGGTCTCCTAGATCCCAACTGCCAAGTGGTGCGGGGAGAATGTCCCAATGAAAATGTCTCCTTCTGGCTGTATTCCAAGTAAGTTTAAAGTTTAGAAAATAATACAAGACTTCTAACAATTAAAAAAAATATATATTCCCTCCAAAATTTCTAAATAATAATTTAAACAACCAAATTCCTCTCTGCAGCTCCACGCGGGATAACCCGATCCTGCTGAATCCCCTCGACCTCAATCCCTGGGACTTCCAGCCGTCACGCCCCCTTAAGATACTCATCCATGGCTACACAGGATACCGCGACTTTGCGCCCAACTCCTTCATCCGCCCTGTGCTCCTGGATAACGAGGATGTGAACGTGATCTCCATCGACTATGGGCCACTGGTGCGATATCCCTGCTACATCCAGGCGGTGCAGAATCTTCCGCTGGTCAGTCAATGCTTGGCGCAGTTGATCAACAACCTGGTGGATCGAGCAATAGTGTCTAACGAGCAGATCCACCTGATTGGCTTCAGTTTGGGTGGTCAGGTGGCGGGTCAGACGGCCAACTATGTGAAGAGAAAGATGAAGAGGATCACGGGACTGGATCCGGCGAAGCCTCTATTTATCCTGGGCCCAGATTCCAGACGATTGGATCCGGGAGATGCCGACTTTGTGGACATCATCCATTCGGATGTTTTCGGTCGTGGAGTGCTGCGAGCCGCCGGTCATGTGGATTTCTATCCCAACTTTGGAGCCCAACAACCCGGCTGCATGGAGGAGAACATGCAAGATCCTGGAAGCTGCAATCACGAGAGAGCTCCTCGCTTCTATGCCGAGTCCATTAATTCCACCGTGGGTTTCTGGGGACGCCAATGCTCCGGCTGGTTGGTCCATCTCCTTGGCCTATGTCCCACAACAGGTCCCCAGGAAAAAATGGGCTATCACGTTTCGGAGGATGTAAGAGGTTCCTACTTCCTCAAGACTGCAAGTCAAGCCCCCTATGCCCTGGGCAAGTTGGAGGATGTGGACAATAGACAGACCCTGGCCAAATTCCATTTGAATATCGACCACAATGAAATTGATGATGACTATGAGCCACAGTTGTTGGAGGCGTTCCTCGAACTGGACGCGGTGAATGTTGTTGTGAAAATGGACGAGGACGATTTGGATAAGCAATTGGACTGGATAGATCGGGAGGAGGAAGAACCCTTGTCGAGAAATGTGTTCTGATAGGTCTTAGGATACAGAATTATTTATATTATTTAGTTAAGATTTCAAATATAAAAATTTCAACGCAAACTCAAGAAGTTAACTATGTTTAATCAGATAGCTAGACGGAGAAAAGAATTGCAATATTTTTAATGGCAGTTTTTAAGCTGGCGCAAATTAAGAATAATTTCTTTTCAATTTAAGAAATTAACAAATTGAAACTAATCGGATGTTTGAATAAAATGACTAATCTTATCTATCCAATTAGCTTTTTAAAAAGTTTATTATACAAAGAGTGCTTCAAAACCATAAATAATAACGATAGGTCTTAGGATACAGTATTATTTATATTATTTAGTTAAGATTTCAAATATAAAAATTTCAACGCAAACTCAAAAAGTTAACTATGTTTAATCAGATAGCTAGACGGAGTCTAGAAAAGAATTGCAATATTTTTAATGGCAAAAACAGTTTTTAAGCTGGCGCAAATTAAGAATAATTTCTTTTCAATTTAAGAAATTAACAAATTGAAACTAATCGGATGTTTTAATAAAAAATGACTAATCTTATCTAACCAATTAGCTTTTTAAAAAGTTAATTATACAAAGACTGCTTCAAAACCATAAATCTTATCTATCCAATTAGCTTTTTAAAAAGTTTATTATACAAAGACTGCTTCAAAACCATAAATAATAACCTTTCTTCATAAATCATCACATTTATGTTCTCCATTGCTCTACTATAGCATTTTCATTACCAGTTTCTAACCCCTAACCCCACCCGCAGCGACCTTGACCCACTGCTCCTCATTCACCTTCCACCAACTTTAGAAACCTTGACTTTTTATCACCTGTCAGCATTGCGTTTTTATATGGGCCCTCATTTTCCATGCCATTTTCAATGTTAGGCCGTGCAAATTTAATAGAACTTGCGTTAGAATGTGAGCTTAGAGCAGTTTGAACTTTAGTCATGAGCAAATATAGCACGGTGATCCTTCTCTTCGTTATTTTTGGTTGCTCCAAAGGAGAAAAGCAGCTGCGAGGCTGGCTGCCAGAGTTTTGTGTGTTCGGCGAGCAAACATGTCCCAATCCGCGAGTTACTTTTTGGCTTTATACAAAGTGAGTGGGAGGATAATATTGCGAAATAAGACCGGAATTAATTTGCATTATTCTCCAGTCAAACCCGTGATGATCCTGTTCAACTGGATCCCCTTAACCCACAAAAGGATCTCTTCAAGAACCAACTGCCACTGAAAATACTCATTCATGGCTTTATTGGAAACAGGAATTTGACACCGAATCTGGAAGTAAGAGATGTGCTGCTCCAAAATCAGAACGTAAATGTTATCTCTGTGGATTATGAGACAATGGTGCGCTGGCCGTGTTATTTTCCCTGGGCCGTGAATAATGCCCCAATTGTATCCGAGTGTCTAGCCCAGATGATAAATAATCTAATACGGACGGGCATCAGCCGACGTGAGGATATCCATTTGATTGGCTTCAGTTTGGGTGCCCAAGTTGCTGGAATGGTGGCCAATTATGTGAGCCAACCTCTAGCCAGGATTACCGGTCTGGATCCTGCGGGTCCTGGCTTCATGATGCAGGTTTCATTGCAGCAAAAACTGGACTCTAGTGATGCGGATTTCGTGGACATCATACACACCGATCCGTTCTTTTTCTCCATGTTGCCGCCAATGGGTCATGCTGATTTCTATCCCAATCTTGACCAGCTTAATCAGAGGGGCTGCAGCTACATCAGCAATTGGAGATTTTACAATTGCAATCATTATAGATCAGCCGTCTACTATGCAGAGTCGATTACATCAGGAAGGGGGTTTTGGGCTCAGCAGTGTGGTGGCTGGTTCGACTTTTTCTCTCAACGATGCAGTTATTACACCAACATGCCTAACTCGCAGATGGGTTACTTTGTGTCGAATAAGTAAGGTTTTACTGTGGATTTAATGTTAGTTTTACTAAGATCTGCTTTTCTACCTTTTAGTGCATCAGGCTCGTATTTTCTCACCACCCACGAAGTTCCTCCCTTCGCAAAAGGACCCCCTGTTGAAGTCGAATTTGATGTTTCGGAACTTCGTAAGCTCACGGAAATAGCATTAAGTTAAAGCTTTATTTTGTACTTACTTTTTTATTTAGTTTTAGTTAAATTTTTTATTTAATATATATTTTTGAGTTTTATAAATGTTTTGTTTTCGATTTCGGGCGGCGAATTCTTATCATAAATAGCTTTATGAAATGTTGTCGAACTTTTATAACCACATATAACTTACTTAATAAGTAGGTATATTAACCATCGGACTTCCTGTTTTTGAAGGTATTTATCGTGGCATACTTTTAGACACCTTTAAGTGATTTTAAATATCTAGAGATTTTTTTAACACAGTACTCCCGATAGGCAATTTAAATTTATGACTTGTAAGCTTTTCTTTTGGTGCAAAAAATTTTAAGTCCAATGTTTTTAAATTATATTTAAGGCAAAAATGCCTAAGTTTACTTTTCAATCAAAACATTTTTTAAGCCCCTACAACGGCTTCTCCAATTGTAATAAAATACCAAAACAAAACTAAAAGCTTTCCACGCAGAGCGAGCTTTTGGGTACCGGTGCAAACTTTTCGGTCAGCCACCAAAAACGAAAGACTTCGGACACGAACTCGACAGTCAGTGGCTCGCCAGAGCGCAATCAAATCGCACGTGCACGCGAACTTCGAGGCGGAGAAAGCCAAGATCGTTACCGAAAATCTCTTCGCGAGACCGCGCGTGCCCGCAAAAATAAAAGAAGTGTGGTAAAACACAAAACTGAATCAATTTCTGTGCAGAGGCAGCCGGAATTATGCCTCGCCAGCTTCGCCGTCGTCTTGCTGTGCATTGAAATCGAAATCGAGTCCAATGACCAGCTCTCGAGCTGGTGCTTAAGAAAGAGTTTTGCACTTTGAAACAGCCTTAGCCGGTCAACGAGCAGGCCTTGACCCAAAGCCCAGAAGAGTTCAAAGATTCCGCTCCTTAGCCCAGTTATATAATCGCAGTTGCAATTGCAATTAAAACTAAAAGTACCGTGAATTTGCAAAAAATAAGTAAAAAAAAGGAAAAATATGTGGTCAAAGTGTGTGAGGAAACCGAAAAGTGCAGACTTTTGGCTGCAGCTGCTCTGCGTGAGTTTTACACTCTCCCGCCTGGAATTCGCCGGTTCGTATGCGTTGTGCTAAAAGAAACCCAAAACAGAGATAAATTTAAGTTTAACTTTTACTTTCGCCCTGGTTGGCACCTATTTTTTTTTCGTGCCTTTCTTTTGGCCCTGTCATTGTGTCCATGCTGTTTATCTGTTTCTGTTGACACTTCAAATTGGCGTCCGCTTAAGTTTCAGCTTCAACTAGTTGCACAATATCAAACATCGTTTTCTTTTTTCCATTGCGACCTTGCCTCATATGTTGGTCAACAGTGATATAAATATCTTGAAAAGCCTCTCTTCAAGTACCTCATATTTTTAGGGGCTCATCCCACACATCCCGCCTTGTCATGGTGTGACTTCGGTAGTCTCGCGTAGCCAAGTTAATTAATCAGACCCTTACTACCGTTTAAATTTCGGGTGCCTCATTATGTATTCATATTTTGATGCCCCTGCACCTTGACACTCTTCGCAGCTTTTGCAATATTTACTGCCAGGCAATTTTTTATTGCCGCTGATGAAGGTGTCATATGGGGCGTATGCGCGTTGCAGGGGTGCGTGTCATTGTCAAGTTTTGAATTCAGACGGACTCAAAGGGCAGGTCCACGGTCGTTAGTTAATTAAGAATGTCAGCTTAATGAAGGGGCTGTCACTGGGCCAGATTAGAGGTTATTGAACTCAAACAAATCTTAGCATTTATAAGCTTTAAGTAGGTCAAAAATGTTGAAATCTTAAAGCTGCAGCCATTTATTAACAAGCTGTTACACCCAGATATTAAGCAATTCTTCAAGAATTTTGTTATTGTCTAATTAAACACAAACACATGCAATGGCTTTTGCTTCGAACATAAGACTTTAAGGTTATGACACACAAATCTCGATATCGATTCGAAGTCAATTGGTCAATAATCTCCATCGTAAAAGCCAACAAAATAATGTCCATGACTCATGGCAAATAAAAAACACAAAAACCCACAAACAAACAAACGGAAAAAAACGGACTCAAAAGCGAGCCAACCCAAAAAACATCTTTCACTTAGCAGGCGATGAGTATTTCGTGTTTTTCCTCCAATTTTCTTTTTCTCCTTCCGCATTCGACTGCTTCCGTTTCGGGCGTGATTTGTGTTAGTTGGACAGAGTTTTCCGGCCAACCAAAAGTCCCAAAATTTATCCATGAAATTTTCCCGCCAAAAAAATATAAACAAACCCAAAAAAAAAAGTAATTTAATTGGCATGCGTAATGCCTGAATGGAAAGGAAAATGAAAAAGGGGGAGTTGGACTTACATAAGTTGGAAAAAGCAGCTCACGAAGTCAGAGATAAACGATTGTGAAAAACAAATGAAAACAGAAAAGCTGAAGACAATTGAGGCATGACCGCGACCACAGCCCATTGCTAATTGAAGAGTGGGGAGTGCGGGTGGGTATAGATCAGCCTACAGAGAAAGAAAATACATTAATACATACAAAATACAATACATATATCGAAAATAAATAGAGGAAAAAGACAGAAGAAAAATATTCAAAATTACATTATATCAATCTTAAGTGCATATTTCGTTTTGCTGACTGTATCACGGATATCGGTGGGTGGTTGAGTGGCATTATGCTGCTGACTCTGATGTAAAAATACGCTTGTTGCATGATAATTTAACCAGCTGCTGGTCTAACGAACACATGTCATCGAAATCGGAGTGAATTAAGCCGTGTTCACTGTGTCGCTGGGGTATGCATGCCCTATAAGGCAGCCGATATCTTCGGGTATTTCCAGTGCCCAGCCAACCGACAAGAGTCTGCATCTGCAATAGTTTTCCAGACCGGTTGCATGACTCTTGGTAATCTCCCAACTACCAGTACTTCAACCGCAAGTGGGCCAATTGGTGGCTAACATTTTGGGCGCCACCAACTGAGGCGACCGAAGGCCGATTCTCATGAGTTTCGGTTAGATTTTTAATTTGGCCATTTAGATTCAAACCGCATTACGGCGACTTCTTACGCATGCGGTGAGCTCAACGTTGCTGACACAAAAAACATTTGGAACTAGTTCAAAGCTTGGCACTTAAATAATATTAAATTAAAAATTTATAATGTACCATTTCTTTATGGTATTATCTTGTATTTTATCTGATTATATTTTGATTACATTTTGTTTTAATTCTTTTTTCTACCAAATTATCACTAAATTTTTTAAAGTCAGAACAAATTCCAATATTGCTAACACCAAAGCAAACTTTAATAGATTGTTAATTATATAATGCTTTTTAAAGTACCACTTAAATTTTAAAGTAGCTAACGAACACTAAATAGTTAAGTTAACACAAGCTTTCAAAACCCTTTGCTTATATTTTGTATTTAGGCAAATTATATGTTTGAAGCGTCTTCAAAATAGTTATTCAGAAACTTATTAAAATTAATAACATTAACATTGAAAAGTCGCAAAAAAAATATTACTTTTTAAGTAAATAAACTATTATTTATTTAACAAAAGAAAATAATGTATATTAATGCACAATTGTATAATGTAATGCACAATTGTTGAATGCAGGGCTTACGTAGCCCACTCCTCGCATTTGCGAACCACTTGGCGCATATCTGTTCGCAGAAAACGAGCCCATGTGTCAGATAAGCCGATCTCTAATGGGTTTTCCTTCCCCCATGAATCAGATGAATAAATTACGCATATTCATTCCGCATCCAGTTGCCAGCTCTAGTTATATCATATCATGAGCAGCATGTTTTGTCAAAAATAAACCCAGTCGGTGCAAAAAGCAAACAAAGAGCAGTGAGCCACAATACGGCGTCACTTCCGTTTTGGGCTGACTTTTACTTTCTGCAACTCAATGTTGCTGCTGCAACCCAATGTTGCTGCTCCAACGCAATGTTGCTGCTGCAACAGCAATCGCATGACATTTGCAGCGTGCCAAATTGCAAGCATTCAATGTCGCTGCCAGCGGCTTATGTAATTAAATGTAATATCGTAGAGCGAAACGTGTTTGTCAACTAAAATCTTGAATCTTGAATTTCACATCCTCCGTAGCTGGCCAAAATGCTGGAGTTGTGGCCGCGGCAGTGGCGGCGGGTCAAAACCAGACGCAGGTCTATGTGACAGATTCTTGCCTGCAGAAACCATATCGCTGTCCACATCCGAAGATCCAGTTCTATTTGTACACGCGACGCACCCAGGAGCAGCCGGAGTTCATAGATGTCCTCGATGCGAACGCGCTGTACTACACGCACTTCAATCCCCGGCATCCCACGAAGATTATAATCCATGGCTTTGGCGGCGGTAGAACCCTGAGTCCCAGTCCGGATCTTCGGGAGGCCTACTTCAGTGTGGGCGAGTATAACATAATCATTGTGGACTATGCCGATGCTGTGAAGGAACCCTGTCTGAGTCAGATGGACTGGGCTCCTCGGTTTGGCAGCCTCTGCATCTCGCAGCTGGTCAAATACCTTGCTCGTCATCCGCGTGGAGTTCAGCCGGATGATCTGCACTTCATCGGATACAGTGTGGGTGCCCACATCGCCGGATTGGTGGCCAACTATTTGAAGCCCGAGGAGGGAAAGCTGGGCAGGATCACCGCCCTGGACCCAACGATATTCTTCTATGCGGGGGCAAATAACTCCAGGGACTTGGACACTACGGATGCCCACTTTGTGGATGTCGTCCACACCGGAGCTGGAATCCTTGGTCAGTGGCACTCTAGTGGTCATGCGGACTTCTATGTAAACGGAGGCACCAGACAGCCAGCTTGCGTGGGATCAGCCACTTTGTTTCGTGAGTACTGTCCTATGAATAAACTAAAAACAAGAATAATAGTCAACTTCGGCTAGCCGAAGCTTATAAAGCAAAGCCATTCTTCGAAAATTAGGAAAGGAGTTAGCATAATAAAAGTGACGAAAGGCCATTTTTTCGAAAATTTGGAAATGACGGAAAAATGACCCAAAATTACAAAAAACAAAACACAGATTTTTAGAGAATTAAACCACAATTATTTTAAAGTATGCCACTTTGAATTCGGATGTCTGTAAGAAAAGTTATGGGCTTAGAAGTGCAGTTTTAGGGCATTTTTTTGCAAGGCCATTTTTCGAAAATTCGGAAAATCGACCAAAAATTGCAAACCAAACTGAGTATACAGTTTTTTAGAGAATTAAACCACGATCATTTAGAAGTATGCCACTTAGAAATCGGATGTCTGCGAGAAAAGGGCTTAGAAGTGCAGTTTTTGGACACTATTCTGCATAGCCATTTTTCGGAAATTTGGAAAATGACCAAAAATCGACCCAAAATCACAAACCAAACTGAGTATACAGTTTTTTAGAGAATTAAACCAAGATCATTTAGAAGTATGCCACTTTGAAATCGGATATCTGTAACAAAAGTTATGGACTTAGAAGTGTAGTTTTTGAACACTATTCTGCCTACATATTTTTCGAAAATTTGGAAAGGGGTTAGCATAGTAAAAATGACGGAAAATCGACCCAAAATTACAAACCAAGCTGAAAATACAGTTTTTTAGAGAATTAAACAACAATCATTTTGAAGTATGCCTTTGAATTCGGATGTCTGCAAGAAAAGTTATGGGCTTAGAAGTGCAGTTTTTGGACAATATTCTGCAAAGCCATTTTTCGGAAATTTGGAAAGGGGTTAGCATTATGAAAATGACCAAAAATCGACCCAAAATTACAAACCAAACTGAGTATACAGTTTTTTAGAGAATTAAACCACGATCATTTAGAAGTATGCCACTTAGCAATCGGATGTCTGCAAGAAAAGTTATGGGGTTAGAAGTGCAGTTTTTGGACAATATTCTGCAAAGCCATATTTCGGATATTTGGAAAGGGGTTAGCATTATGAAAATGACCAAAAATCGACCCAAAATTACAAACCAAACTGAGTATACAGTTTTTTAGAGAATTAAACCACGATCATTTAGAAGTATGCCACTTAGAAATCGGATGTCTGCAAGAAAAGTTATGGGCTTAGAAGTGCAGTTTTTGGACAATATTCTGCAAAGCCATTTTTCGGAAATTTGGAAAGGGGTTAGCATTATGAAAATGACCAAAAATCGACCCAAAATTACAAACCAAACGGAGTATACAGTTTTTTAGAGAATTAAACCACGATCATTTAGAAGTATGCCACTTGGAAATCGGATGTCTGTAAGAAAAGTTATGGGCTTAGAAGTGCAGTTTTTGGACAATATTCTGCAAAGCCATTTTTCGGAAATTTGGAAAGGGGTTAGCATTATGAAAATGACCAAAAATCGACCCAAAATTACAAACCAAACTGAGTATACAGTTTTTTAGAGAATTAAACCACGATCATTTAGAAGTATGCCACTTGGAAATCGGATGTCTGTAAGAAAAGTTATGGGCTTAGAAGTGCAGTTTTTGGACAATATTCTGCAAAGCCATTTTTCGGAAATTTGGAAAGGGGTTAGCATTATGAAAATGACCAAAAATCGACCAAAAATTACAAACCAAACTGAGTATACAGTTTTTTAGAGAATTAAACCACGATCATTTAGAAGTATGCCACTTAGCAATCGGATGTCTGCAAGAAAAGTTATGGGCTTAGAAGTGCAGTTTTTGGACAATATTCTGCAAAGCCATTTTTCGGAAATTTGGAAAGGGGTTAGCATTATGAAAATGACCAAAAATCGACCAAAAATTACAAACCAAACTGAGTATACAGTTTTTTAGAGAATTAAACCACGATCATTTAGAAGTATGCCACTTAGCAATCGGATGTCTGCAAGAAAAGTTATGGGGTTAGAAGTGCAGTTTTTGGACAATATTCTGCAAAGCCATATTTCGGATATTTGGAAAGGGGTTAGCATTATGAAAATGACCAAAAATCGACCCAAAATTACAAACCAAACTGAGTATACAGTTTTTTAGAGAATTAAACCACGATCATTTAGAAGTATGCCACTTAGCAATCGGATGTCTGCAAGAAAAGTTATGGGGTTAGAAGTGCAGTTTTTGGACAATATTCTGCAAAGCCATATTTCGGATATTTGGAAAGGGGTTAGCATTATGAAAATGACCAAAAATCGATCCAAAATTACAAACCAAACTGAGTATACAGTTTTTTAGAGAATTAAACCACGATCATTTAGAAGTATGCCACTTGGAAATCGGATGTCTGTAAGAAAAGTTATGGGCTTAGAAGTGCAGTTTTTGGACAATATTCTGCAAAGCCATTTTTCGGAAATTTGGAAAGGGGTTAGCATTATGAAAATGACCAAAAATCGACCCAAAATTACAAACCAAACTGAGTATACAGTTTTTTAGAGAATTAAACCACGATCATTTAGAAGTATGCCACTTAGAAATCGGATGTCTGCAAGAAAAGTTATGGGGTTAGAAGTGCAGTTTTTGGACAATATTCTGCAAAGCCATATTTCGGATATTTGGAAAGGGGTTAGCATTATGAAAATGACCAAAAATCGACCCAAAATTACAAACCAAACTGAGTATACAGTTTTTTAGAGAATTAAACCACGATCATTTAGAAGTATGCCACTTAGAAATCGGATGTCTGCAAGAAAAGTTATGGGCTTAGAAGTGTAGTTTTTGGACACTATTCTGCATAGCCATTTTTCGGAAATTTGGAAAGAGGTTAGCATTATGAAAATGACCAAAAATCGACCCAAAATTACAAACCAAAATGAGTATACAGTTTTTTAGAGAATTAAACCAAGATCATTTAGAAGTATGCCACTTTGAAATCGGATATCTGTAACAAAAGTTATGGGCTTAGAAGTGCAGTTTTTGAACACTATTCTGCCTACATATTTTTTGAAAATTTGGAAAGGGGTTAGCATAGTGAAAATGACGGAAAATTGACCCAAAATTACAAACCAAACTAAAAACACAGATGTTTAGAGAATTAAACCACAATTATTTTAAAGTATACCCTTTTGAATTCGCGTGATTGTAAAAAAAGTTATGGGCTTAGTAGTGCAGTTTTTGGGCACTTTCTTTTCTTACCAACCAAGCTGAAAACGAAGATTTTGAGATAATGTTTATTAAATAAAAAGGTGTCAGTTGTGTAGTTCATCTTCCAAATGAAATGAAATTTTATCATTCCAATTTCGTTTGGCTCAATGTTGTCCCATTAGGTCTTAAATAAAGTAATAATTAATAATTATTATTATTTACCTTTTAAGTGTATCTATATTTAAGTACTTTGTCATATATTGAACTGACTATTTATTATTATTTATTTATTATTTCAAACCCGCAGAAACCTTGGCCTGTGATCACACGAAAGTAACGCCGTACTTTATCGAATCCATAACGACGACTCGGGGATTCTATGCAGGTCCTTGTCCCAACTTGTTCTCCTACCTGATAGGCTGGTGTGAGCCCAAAGACTCGGAATATGTCCTGATGGGAGAACACTGTTCTCACAAGTGAGTTTTTTTTTATTTCTGCTTTTCTATTTTCTTTATAACATTATCAATGTTTTGCAGAGCCCGAGGGAATTATTATGTGACCACCAATGCAAAGGCGCCCTTTGCTCGAGGATTTCCGGGCAAAGGTCGATCCAATGGGGAATACCAGGGAGTGAGGAGATAGTGCTCTTCAACTTGTCGAAGTCGTAAATTGAATTTTGTATTTATTTGTATTTGAGCCGCCTGGACCTATGCATCTTTTACACCGTAGCACTCATGTGATTTTAGCTTGTTTCCTAATTGATACCTATTTATTTCTTAATATTGTTATTAGCTCTAACTTCAGCCATTTTTTGTTGGGGGCTGGGAATGGACCGAGTACCAATCTCAAGTGTTCCGGGACTTGTACAAATAAATAGGTATAATAACTAAGTTTTATGCTACGAGTTGTATGAAATAAAAAACTCAATTTTGTTGGCATAATTTTTAACATGTTCGTTTTATTGAATTCCAAATACAATTCATTAGGTATAATTTCGTTCTGTTTTTCATGACCTTCAAATATGGTAATTCGTATAGCCGGATCTCATACATCTTTATTTCTTTTAACCAAATTTAAGTTACATAGGAGACGATTGTTAGAACTAAGCAGAATTTCAACTGAACATAGGTTTTCTTGTGTTCTGAGTCTCTTTTATTCGTTTATCTTTAGGAATAATTATTTGTTGTTTTTTTTTTGTTTTTGAGCATACAATGAAATATATAAGTATTTATTTTAATTTGGATTAACTACCATATAAATTATACAACATGGGCGGGTGTTGCCAGAAAAGGGATCTCCGATTGTGTTTAATATATTTAATTTTGATTTAATATTATATATTTTGTATACAGAACTCTCAGTAAACACAAAGAATATTTTGTTTCTAATTATATACACAGTTGAAGTATCGGTTGGATATCCCAGCCGAAGTTAGCGGTAATATTGTTACTACATCTTTTTTAATAATAAGAAGTTTTATTGGATTCAGATTCCAAGGAGTTCTGTAGCCAATTTTTTTATGTTTTTAGTAAATATATGTTTTATATTAATAGCATATATCTGATTTGTATTTGTGCGCCTATATTTCTGTATGAATGTGTATGCATTTCCAGCGTTTTTAAGTTTACTTCCACGTACAACATTAATGTTTGGCTAGTAGTTAAAATACCCTAGATGTAACCTGTTCTTGTGTGACTCTGGCTATAGCGAAAAGTGATGGTTTAACACTATTGAAGTTGAGCCCGTTTAGTTTTTAGTTATGCTTTGGTTTAATTTGGCTTTATATACACTTAAATTACTCACAAAAGCATTTAATGATGGCATTCAACTACGAGATATAATTGTATTTACAATCCGTTATGTCAAGTGATCTTCATTATTTGCATATCTTAGCAAGCAAAAGTTTTCACCGTGGCTTTCTGGTTAACATATCTATGTTATTATTGTCCACACAGCCCCGAGAGCTTGAGTATCTCTCAAACGAAAAAAGGAAATAAAATCCATAGGGTAAGAACATGTCTCTAATATTATAATCTTCCGATTATAAACAAATTATTCTTAAATATGGTTTTATATACAGAATGAAGTTTTAACTATACTAATATTACACATACGCCCCAGTGGCCAACATTTTTAATTGCCTGCGCGATGCATTCGTTAAAAATTTGTGCCTAAAATCAAATGATGATACTAAATAAATAAAAATAATTCGAGAATATAAATTTGGTTACTATTAACTAGTCTTACTTCACTAAGTATTGTCGCTCACACAAGCAGTATTGTTTTCTTCAATTGGAACTTGTATCCCAAACCATTTAAAATTGTAATATATATTAGCTATGTTAAAGTTGCTATACGAGTATTTGCGTAAGTATTTATTCGCTGCGCTGTACAAATTACGGTATTAGAATTGACTCTTTTAGTTAGAAAATTTTCACGTTTTTAATACATAGTGATTTAAATGTGAATAATTTAAATTACCTTTATATAGTTATTTATAATATTTGTGGCTAATTTAATATGTTTGGATAATATACAGACGATTAGAAATCATTTTTTGTAAATTTGTATTTTCAATTGAACAGTGCGAAAGTAAGTGCGTCTAAATATGTTTTGTGTGGCAGTAATTGAAGTTTTTAATTAATTTATTATTATATATTAAAATTATAATAGGTGCATGAAACTAAAACAAACAAATAGTAACAGTGCATTAAGTAAGTAAAATTTGTGCTCTTAAATAAAATTTGGTGCATAAATAAGTTTAAGTGTAAGTACTTAATGCTGAATTTATGTACAATCTACTAGGTATTTCGAAATTGTTTAAATTTATTGGTTTAGAGAGATTTAACAGTGCTAATATTGTATAATAAATAATTTAGCTTTTATTTAAGTTTTACAAAAGGAACACAATTTAAAAACGTAATGTACTTGGGTTTAAAACTAGGAGTTGACTTTTAACTGAATAAGTTAATAATAAAAATTGGAAAATTTGTTTTTGCCAGCCATGGAAAATATTTTAGCTGATATTTAACAAAACTTGAAGAAGTTCAACATAGAGTAAAATTTATTTGAAAATTAGAATTTATAAATTTAAACGCTAGACCATTTTTTGGCATAGAAACCCAAACTTATTAACACCCTTTTCCATTTTTAGATAAAGTGTTCCTTTTGCTTATTATTATTTTAATGTAGTGAGCATATGAAGACCAAGTCTGAGGTTATATGCGCCTACGGCTATCTACTTAAGTGTTATGTTTTTAGTACCTACATCATGCCTTGCTCATGTTCTTAAAACACAAAAGCATACGGTGCATCAAGAATAAAACAAATCAAACATAAACGAGAATTAGTTAACAGAATAATATATGTTTTGTTTTTTTTGATTAGCTAGTAATTTTTATGGTTATCATTCGTGCCGAACATCAACAATTGCTTGGGTTTGATTAAAATGTTCTCTTTACACAGAAGATAATATCATCAACGGTAATAAAACGTGCAGTTTGCAGTTCAACAACAATCTTTGGCTATATATATATATACGATTATACCGATTTAAATATAATTATTATAGGCTTTGTCTGGATTATGTGGTTTATGATATACACAAGTGCTGACTATATATTTCCAGTTTTTCCCTATCTTGTGTTGCTGTTTCGGTTTCTGAGCTTGTAAATAGAAATTCGCGGAAGCGACGTCTTAATACTATATGCTATATAGATCGATTAGGCCTGTTGTGTGTCTATGTGGGATAACTGTAATGGTAATGGCTATCGGTATTGCTGTGTATGCATATGTAGTTTCTCTGTTAGGTACATAGTTTCATTGTGTTAGTGTGGCATATGGAATCCCCTAATTCGCTGACAAATTCGTTTCTCTTTTTAGTTATATATATATATATCGTCCGAAAGGCTTTTGGATCCCTTCACCGATGGAACTCAACAAATAGAAAGTTAGAGAGTATGGGGAAGAACTTTAACGGCACACCAAGAACAAACAATAAACGTCAAACGATTTCCGACTACAACTAAAAGCTATGATATATATCAGTGAATCCATTACTGCTGCTGTTGGTATCCCTGTGGATCGTAGGACGGCATTTGTCCTTGCGTGTATCCATATTGTCCTGGGTTCGACACATCCCCGTAGCTCGGTGGTGCATCCTCCTCCGCGATTGGTGGTGCACCACTGGCCATGGCAAAAGGATTGTTGGCCACGTGACCAGTGGCGCCATAGCTAATGGCATTCGACTGCTGCATTTGACTCTGCTCATTGTACTCAGGAGCACCCTATTTCGGGAAAAAAAAGGTTCAATTATATTAAAGGGATAATTACGGGTTTGATACAAATATACGACAAAAAAGTTACTTGTTGGAAAGGTTATAAAGCTTTATATCTCTTCAATTAAATTTTGGTAAGGTAAATTAAACCTCTAATATTTTTGTAAAGCTCTTAAACATTCAAAAATACTCTTAAATACAATTTATCAAATGCTTTTAAATAAATAAATAATAGTTATGCCAACTAAACTATATAAAAACGAATTTATAAATATATTTTACCACAAAAAAGTTAAATCGTATGTCACTTACAAATGAGGTTTCCTTCATGTAGTCGCCCAACATGCCCGCCTGGCTGGGATCCGTATTGGTGATGGCACCTGGTGGTGGGGCCCACACCTTCTGCTCCTCTGCCGGAGGCTCCGCCCATGGCTGTAGTTCTCCAGAGGCGAAGATCCCGTAGAAACTGCAGCCAACCAGATGAACACAGGCGGCCAGGGTGAATACTGTAGTCCAGCAGCCAGTGGGCTAAAGAATTCAAATATTTAGAACACATTCTTTTAGAAAATACTAGAATTACTTAAACAATACTTTTAGTCAAAATCTCTATAAGTTTTGCGAATTTTTGGGATGAAACAACTTTTGTATTCCTCTTCTTAATTCTGCTTGGTACATTTTACTAAATTCATTATTTAATTCACTTACATTAGACTGGATTAGACCATCCAGGGCGTAGGGTACAATGATGCCAGCCAGTGTGCCAATTCCATTCGAGAGACCCATCAGGATACTGGCATATCGAGGAGCAATATCCAGGTGATTGACATTATAGCCGGATATGGCAAAGCCACTGAAGGCCACGCCGCAGGTCAAGGCAAACATGGCTCCCGTCTGCAAAAGAGATCTCTATAAAAACAGAACCAACAGGCTTATTAAGGACCTACCGCCGTTGAGGAATGAGCCACGAATAGGAAGAACAGGCCCTCCATCCCGAATCCGCCGCAGTTGAACAGCTTTCTTACATTCGTGGTGGACAGGATGCCATTCTTTCGCAGGTGATCCGCCAACATGCCGCCAAATGGAACAATCGTGGTCATGATCAAGTGGGGCAGGGATCCGACAAAGCCCGCCTCCTCCACTTTGAATCCGAACTTGTGCTTGAGGAACGAGGACTGGAACAGCACCAGGAGGTAGAAGTTCCAGGAGCGGCAGAAGTTGGCCACAATGATGGCGTACACCGGCATCGATCGCATCATCTGCCGCCAAGGAGTCGTCTTCAGGGATGGCATCGTCGGATGAGCCGACTCCCCCAGCGATTTCTCGATGTACTTCAGCTCGGGTATGCTGATGGCCGGATGTTTGCGTGGATTCTCGAAGCACAACCATATCCAGAACATGTACCAGATTATGCCGAACACCCCGTACGCGTAGAACGGCGCCTGATAGCCCACGGTATCGGCCAGAAGTCCGGAAAGCGGCAGTCCCACCACCACGCCGGCATAGGAACCGGAAAAGGCCAACGTGGCCAGTCGGGATCGTTCCATGGGCGGAGCCCAGAAGCGCCAGATGCCATGACAAGCTGGATACGTAACGCCCTGTGGAGGGAGATGTTACAAAATATAGGTTGAAGTCTAGTATAACTGATTGATTGTGCAACTTTTTTATCGATTTTTTCTGTGTATTTAAATTAGTTTGTATTTTCATTTATTAGTTTTGGTCATGTCCTATATAATATAGATAAATTTGAATAAATATTTGTTCATGTCTATCGTATTTAACAAAGTAAGGGCAACAAAATTTTTTACAATTTTAAATTTAAATTTTTCCTTTGCATTATTAGAGAAAAAATCAATATACTCAATAATCGTTATAAACTGCAAACATGCAATTGAAATTTTAAATGTAAAACTATGTTTACCAAAATCTATGAAGGGCATAATATAACAGTCTACTGCTTCCAAAATCGAATGAGCAAATATCTTGTTGTTAAAGCATATATCATTCCTTTCCAATTTGAAGAAAAATGACAAACTCCCCAGTCTCTTACACAAAAGAAACGCATTAAAATAAATGCTTTTGTTATTTTTCTTTGCCCTGCCAAACCCCCCCTCCCTTTAAGGGCTTAGGACATGTTTCCATTTCACATATTTGCTTTATCATAAAGCAAAATCTAACCCTCCCCATTTTCGGAACATCACGCAGCCGTAATCCCCGGCTTTGATCTGTGGCAAAATCGAATTTGGTTAGTTGGTTAGCTGGTTGGTTGGGTTACGTACCTCGAAGAGTCCTTGCAGGACGCGCACACAAATCACCACATGACCGTGCATCAGGGTCATCGCGAATGGCACGAAGAGATGCAGTGTGGCGGAGCTCACGATGGACAGGCCGAATATCTTGTTGGCCGGGAACTTGGAGGCGATGAAGCCGCCGGGAATCTGCGTCACCAGATAGCCCCAGAAAAAGGACGAGTCCACATGGCTCTCCACGGCGACCGTCCAGTTCATAAAAACAGTCTGCAAAAATCCGGAAATAAAACATTTTTAGAGGGTGAGTGGTGGGCGCTCGACAATCATTAAAAACCGCTGCAGGCATTTATTAACGAGCGTCAAACCGGATTCTGAGTTTCAAAACGGGTTTCTATGTGCCCATGTGGGGGCGTGGTCTTTTGTGTATGACTTTTGAGTGATATCCACCCACACACACTCCTTAATTGACAACAGCTTCTTGCCAAACGAAGCGAATTTGATGGCTCCCTCTCTCTAGCATTTATTCCTGCTCATTTAATTCTGTCAATTTTATCAATTTAATATGTAGACACTTAGCAAGGAGATGTGAACAGAATTTAATGAGGAACAATTTAAGAAATTTTAGTCTTTACGGAATTTGAATCATTCTTTTTGGTGGACTTATAATTTATTCTTAAAGATATCCGCCTACAATATCAGGAACTTAAGTCGACATTAAGAGAACTAATAAGCTGTTAGTCTAAAACATTCGATCTAAATACTTTATCAATAAGTTTTGATTGAAGCCGATATTTATCAAGTCTTAATCAAGTAATTTTTAAGATGTCCCACCCAAACCGTATAAATTTTAAAAGAATTCCTTTCACTTCAAAATCTTTAATATAAAAAAATGTATTGGGATAAGACTGAGATAAATTGTTGGGCTTATTGGAAAAAAGTATATATTAGCTGTAGCTTCTCACCCCGTTGTGCTCTCCTTTGAGCTTGGCCGCCGACATGTTGCACCGCATTCCGAAGGCGATCATGAATCCCACGCAGGCCATGGTGGCGATGGTGTAGCGGGCCGGCATGCAAGGACACTCCGCCTTGCAGTACTTGTCGATCTTCCGCAACGGTGGCCGCTCGATCTCCTCGAAGGAGGCGGGCGAATCGGGCCGGTCGTCGTCGTCGTCGTAGGCGTGGCCACCGCCCGGTCCACGACCCTCCCGGTCGCCCCCTCCATCTCCTCGTAGCCACCGTGTCCGCCATGGTAACTCTGCGATATCTCGAACTTCTCCATGTTTGGCTTCATGCTGCAAAAGTGATAATAAATCAGATTTATTCAAATAATACAAATAAAATAATTATTTAAGGTTTCAAATATTAATTAACGTATTTTGTTACTTAATGTTCTGGGTTAGACATAAGTCAGAGCAAATTATCATGTTTTAATATAAATGATTATAATAGTGTAAGTACCTTAAAACAACTAAGCCCTTAAAATTTCAGGATTTTCATTCCTTACTCAATCTACTCAATATACATTACAATCTTTTTCTCCTGGGGCATAATTCATGCCAATTATAGCGGCTAGTAAAACAAATCAACAGGTCAACGAGAGGGCGTGAAAACACAAATATTTTCGGCTTGTTAGCAGCAACAGCTGCCACCCCTCCAAAACCATACGCCCATCGAAGGTGGTTGTTGTTTTTTGCCAAGGGTCCCAAAGGAATTGCGGTATTCTGAGGGGAGGAATTTGCTGGGAAAACCTTCCTCCTTGGTGCGGAATAAAATTCAATTTTATTAAGTGCTGATAGCATGGCTACGGGTATTTAAAGTTGATTGGACCAGGTAAGAATCGGCAATCGCATTTCCAGCTTTGATTTCCCAGTTTAAACACAGTTAAAAGACCTTGTCACCGACTGATTGATGGATGTGTGTTAGCTGATATCGGGTGATATCTGGGGGCGACCCAACCACTAACCCCTGGGCAAGCCATTAACCCGGGATAAGTGACACATCAACTGAGATATAGCCCCTTACCACATTCCCCTGAATTAGGAATTTTTCTTCATAAATATCCAGACAAAGTCCCCATAAGTATGCAATACAAACTAATAAGCAGCCACCAGCCAAAAACAAGCCACTACAGTGGATATAACTTTTTGTCGTCGTCGAAGTCGCCGCCTGTCACATAACTCAACTGTCTGCCGCCAAAGCTACCCTCGTCTGGTCACGCAGGATCCCCTGAATATGGGCAAAACGAAAAAAGGAGCTGAAGGAGCAACTTGCGTCCTTCGAACAACGTGCGCCTTGACCGACTTTAAGGCTGACGCCAATTTTATGCGGCAATTCTTATTTGCCCTTCGAAAAAAAAGAACTGCTCTATGTCCGTCATTAGGTTTGTTGTGCCAAAAGATGATTCGATTACCATTTCAACGTGATAATTTAGGGCCTTGGCACTTAAGAAATGCCTGGATAATTTTTTGGAAATGTTTTCTGAAAGAATTTAAGGTATCACTGCTACATATTAATTTGTATATTTTTTTTGTTTCACAAGCCCTTCTCATACAAATTAAAAAATGCATTTTGAAGAAGCAAATGTATATTTAATTTAATAAGGTTCATTGGTGGAATTTCAGGGTATCTTTAGAATATTAATTATCCTTTAATGATCCCTTATAGATTATTTTGAACATATAAGTGATTTTTCATTTATCCCGTAAGAACATCTCATCTTCGTCTCTTTTACAAATCACTTCGCATCCTTGACTAGAGCTTGTTTTTTTTGAAGTCGCGCCAAACTATCTTTGGCGCTAAAGTTCTGTTTTGATAGTCAGTAAAAATGTTGCAGACTTTTTGGCGCCGCCTAGATTAAGGATAACTGGCGCCACGAGCTGAAGACTTTTCGGCATTCGCTTTTGACTTTAACGTGGCCACAAAAACGCGACCATTAGAGATGTAAATGGGGCACATCCACAGATGAATAAATATATATATGGTGTGTATTAGTTTGTTTGCCTTGACAACTGAGATGCTCCGGCATTCAGAGGGTGGGAAGGGAGAGTGGTGGCTTGTCAGCGACACGACCGCGTATCTTCAATGGCAATTCTAATTTCATTTTCACTGGCAAGGATAAAGGAACTCCTTGAGCACTCCCCCGATAAGGCATTTCAATTTCTTCGCGCCGAGTGCCACTCGAGAGCTTCAGCAGCAGCAGGTCCTGGCAACGGAAACGGGTCGTAAAAATCAATTTCGTTTGCGTGGACTACTGCAGCAGCAGCACTTCGTCGGTATGCAACACATTCCTTAATGAAAGCGATGTGCCACCTATTGTTCCAATTTCTAATTTGCGCCCCAAGGTCCTTGAGAAATCAGGCGAGGTGTGGCCATAAAATTGCATACCACGACCACACATTCATTGAGCGTTTGCCCAATATGCCTCAGTACGCCTTTATTGTGTTTTTCCCGGAATCGAAGGTGCCGGAGTGCAAGTATAAGTTCCCGGACACGTGCTGCCAACGTGCCCGGAATTCCTGAGCCACCGGTGAGCTTCGTCGGCATGCCAGCGCGTTCATTGTCACCACTGGAAAGTCCTGGGTGTCCTGGCAGTCCTGGCACTCCTGGCAGTCCCCACTCTAATGACTTGTTAAGCATGCCAATAATTTTACAACTTTCCGGGGCGCGACACGTGCCAAAGTTTCGCGACGCCGGCTAGTCGGCAGTGCGTATCAATATCGGTACATATTTACTGCATTATCCTGGCATGGTCAAGTTCAGTCAACCACGAACACCGACCAGCCTTGCGTTAAATTAAACTCTCTCTTTTTTTGTTCTTTCCAAAGTCCATTTGATTGCATTCATATTTCATCCCAGTTATATTGCTCATCGTCATCGTTGTACACTGGCCAACAAGGATTTGAAAGTCGGAAAAAATGAGGGAAATGTGCAAAGTAAGGAAACCTTTGTAATATCCTTTTTTGAGCCTAAGGTTTTTCTATTTCTCTTAAATAGTAAAATCATTTCTCAGATATATATATTCTTTTTTTAATACCTTTAATCCCTTTTTTGAACCTAAGGTTTTTCTATTTCTCTTAAATATGTAAGTAAAATCATTTTTCAGATATATATATATATTTTTTTTTAATCCCTTCAAGCTATAAGATTCCAAAAATAATTAACATACCAAAATCTCTTACAAAAGTTATTGTAGATATCCCACAACCAATTCTAAAATTAATATGTTACATACTACATTTTGAATCCCTACAGTATTTAATGTTCCTTAAGACCAAAACCCTGTTGTCTGGTGTTATGCATATCATATCATGGCACACTCACCCGCCGAACACGCCCGTCGCCTTCTCCTTAAACGCCGTCAGACCCTTCATGGTGATGCTGTGGTCGTATCCCTGATTTTCCCAGACTCCTTCTTCCTCTGACTCCGCCCCTGTCTCCGGATCGCCGAATCCTCCTTCGTAAAAGTAAGCGCCTGTTGTGCTTCGCTGCCTTTTCCGCTGTTATCACTTGGGCGCATAAATATATTTTGTTGCCTACTTCACGGCGGATTGCCGTGTATATAAGCGTGGCGAATCGGCGGCGGTTAATTTCCGTGAAGCCAGCACAAATTTGATGACTCTATTTTCGGGTTGGTTCGTTCACTCAGCAGGGGATTTTCACTTGGTCGCCATATAATTTCGATTTTCGGAAAGCTTGTGCACATTCATTTACAGTGCCTGAAAAAGAGATTTGTACCGGTTATTAATGGGTCCAACAATTTGTGTTCTGTTGCTGATAAGCAAAAGTCTCGTACAATTTCATCATTTTGCACATTTCTTGTAAGCGGCTTATGTTCATAAATTTGCTTGGGTGTCCGATGGGAGTGATGAAGGAAATCGGATGGGTAAGGGGTAAATTCTGAGCCGGGAGACCATTTTGTAAATATTTCTGGCTTTGTTGGCTGTTTTGATTGCCTTTTACGCTTCATTTAGTGTGTGTATGAAATTTGATCCTTTTTTTTGGTTACAGTAATCTCTTCTGAATGGGGTTAGCCAAAGTGAGTAGAGAAATTATTAAAAAGGTATATAATACCTTAAAACTATTTTAATTGGGGCTTTTATAACATTGTAAGTAAACTAGTTGTAAGTCAAATACCCCTAAAGATATTAAAAATCTTTAATACGTTTCAATTAAAATCAATAAAGCTTCTAAGGATTTATTTTAAAACATGTCCATGAATTTTTATACCCTTGCAGAGGGTATTATAATTTTGGTCAGAAGTTTGTAACGCAGTGAAGGAGACGTTTCCGACCCCATAAAGTATATATATTCTTGATCAGGATCAATAGGGGAGTCGATATAGCCATGTCCGTCTGTCCGTCTGTCCGTCTGTCCGTCTGTCCGTCTGTCCGTCTGTTTCAATACCGTTTGTGAGCTCAGTTTAAAAGCTAGCGATCTGAAACTTTCACACGCGTCCTAAAACATGTGTACGCAGATCAAGTTTGAAAATCGCCCCGATCGGACGTCTATATCCTATAGCTCCCATAGGAACAATCGGATATATCTAGCAAAAATTGATGATATTTCGCGCAGTGTAAAAGCTATTGACATGAATTTTTCCAAATCGTATTTTTTTATGCATACCTTGATCAGGGTAAAAGCGCGTGGCAATCGGACGTCTATATCCTATAGCTCCCATAGGAAAAATAGGGTAAAATCGGTCCAAATTTTATGTTTTTCAGAATATTTCGCGCTGTGTAAAAGCTATTGCTATAAATTTTTTCAAATCGTATTTTTTTATACATTCCTTCATCAAGGTGAAAGCGCGTGCTGATCGGACGTCTATATCCTATAGCTCCCATAGGAACAATCGGATATAACTTTCAAGAATGGAAGATATTTTGTGCAGTGTAAAAGCTATTAACATAAATCTTTCCAAATCTTATTTTTTTATGCATACCTTGATCAGGGTAAAAGCGCGTGGCAATCGGACGTCTATATCCTATAGCTCCCATAGGAAAAATAGGGTAAAATCGGTCCAAATTTTATGTTTTTCAGAATATTTCGCGCTGTGTAAAAGCTATTGCTATAAATTTTTTCAAATCGTATTTTTTTATACATTCCTTCATCAAGGTGAAAGCGCGTGCTGATCGGACGTCTATATCCTATAGCTCCCATAGGAACAATCGGATATAACTTTCAAGAATGGAAGATATTTTGTGCAGTGTAAAAGCTATTAACATAAATCTTTCCAAATCTTATTTTTTATGCATACCTTGATCAGGGTAAAAGCGCTTGGCGATCGGACGTCTATATCCTATAGCTCCCATAGGAACAATAGGGTGAAATCGGTTAAAATTTAATGATTTTTAGGATATTTCGCACAGTATATAAGCAATTGACATGAATCTTTCCAAATCGTATTTTTTTATGCATACCTTGATTATGATAAAAGCACGTGACGATCGGACGTCTATATCCTACAGCTCCCATAGGAACAACAGGGTGAAATCGGTCCAAATTTGATGATTTTCTGAATTTTTCGCGTAGTGTGCGAAAGTATCCCTTTTTTTCTATTTTTATATGACATTTTTGCAGTATAAAAGCAATTGACATTAAACGATGAAAATCTAGTTTATTTATGTATACCTTATTCCTTTGGCTACTTTTTCAGTTTTAGCAATTTCGGCAAAGTCTGCAAGGGTATTAAAACTTCGGCTTGCCGAAGTTAGCTTCCGTCCTCGTTTTATTTTATAAATGTTTTGGTAAAAAATCATGTACACTAAAATTAAAATGTTTATCGGTTTTATAAATTCCTAGCTTTTTTAGAAAATCAAAACTTTTGATTCGTTAGAGGACTTCCTTTATAAATTTATTTTAAGACTAAATTCTCGAATGCCATTTTTATTTATTGCCAGAAATATAAAAAAAAGCCTACATTCTTTGGCGTTTTTCTCGAAATTGTCAAATTTTTCCGAGTTAAGCTCTTCCCCCAAAATCGTTGTACTTTTGACCTTTGGCCGCAATGAGTACTTACATCCCACATCAGAGTTACGTAATCCATTTCGCAGTTGTGCCCAATTATGTAATAGTCCTTTAGTTGAAACTTAAGAACCGTTTTTTCGGTAGTTTATTTTGGCTTAAGTTATTTTGCAGTAGTCAACAAAATTTGTTAAGTATTTTAACTAATTTGTTGTTGTTGGTTAGGATATCACAAATAAGGTACACAGATAACAGATTATATAGCTTGATTATACACTACGCGATACGCTAGAAAAGTGATAAAAAAGGAGAAATTAAGTATTTCTTTAACAAACAAATATGTCCTAAGACATCCTAATAAATTATTTTTAAAATATAGAAAAAATCTCACATTTTCTGACCAACACACGCCCCGCAAAAATAAATATTAAAAAAACAAAATAAACTGAAAACTTTGGATAAACGAATTAAAAACTTAGAGTGTGGGACGACAACATCCAGACAGAGTTTGACCACGAAACCGGCGGCAGTTTTGTATGGAACCGACGACGACTAGGACGAGGACCGATCCGAATCCCACTCTGTCTGAAGACTGTGTGACAACCAGTTCCAAACCAGCCGCGACGTGGACCTCCATTTGAGGATCGGCGGAGGACAGGTGGCGACGGAATACTTGGATACATAAGATGCCATCTCGGTCTGGAAAGTATCCAATATATACACGGTGGGTATGGGGAGAACTAGTGAGTGAAGAGGGAGGGGGATGGGGGTTGGGGGTTGGGGGTGGGAGGAGCGTAGTATATACTGGAAATTTTCAACCACTGGAATGTGCGAGTTTTTCTTTTCAAGGGTATTACGAGGCGTAGGACAGAAAACGTGGATTTTAACCATTTTTTGCCATTAACCAGCACTTTTTCGAATCATTATTAGTATACACGCGATTATTCAGATATTTTCAACTATATATCCCTATTTATTGATCTATTTTAATTGTATTTTTGCAGCTATATACCCGCAGCTCCAGGCTCGCTTTTGGCCTCAGCAGGACAACGCACGAAGTGAAACTAAAAGCGCCCGCATTCGCCTTTCTTGTCTGCCCAGATGGATGTCCTGCCAGCGGATTATGCTGCTCCGAAGCATAATCAACGCATCCGTCCCGTTCGCACCCGCTGTGGTGAAAAGCTTTCCACGGCAGCAAAGCTGCGCAGGCCCGAGAATCCTGACGAGTCCTTCGTCCTTCGGCATTGGTCGCTGGTGGATGGCAACAGTAGCCTTTGAGATTTGGGGCCGTGGTGGGGGAGCACCGTGCCACCTGACCGAAAAGGACCAATCAGAAGTCCTCGTACATGGGAATGCCACCTCCTTTGGGTTGGCATGCGAATCTCAGTCGTGCGTGAAATGCTATTAACATGTTGCCAGGCCATTTTCCATTGTTTTTCTCCTGTCACACAGACGTTCTGCATTCTCCATCCACGACTTCCCAGAATGTCAGCCATTTTGAATATTTTCCCTGTCTGCTTGGGGGGCTCAAAATTGCCAAACAGGCTCAAAAATGTTCGAAAATGCACCTATTTATGGATGAGCATCGACATCCTCATAAACAGCCAAAAATAAGTGACTTTCCTCCTCTGGAATTTGATCGATTCGAGTCGTACGTGATCCTTTTAATATTGCCCAAGTTTGGGGTTCGATTGGTACCTAATGGATTATCATTAGTTATAGGCCACTTAAGTGGTGAAACAATTTATCATTTATTTTATAAAAAATCGTTTTAAGGATTATAGAGTTCTTAAACTGAAAGTCATAAAAATTACACTTCCGAATTCACCACAAATATGTGTTTTCTAAACCATTTAAAGGCCTTAAACCTACCATTTACTATGGCTATTCTATTCTTCATTGCCACACTTCTAAGATTTAAATTTTAAATTTGTTTTTAAATAACTTTAACTTCAATATTAAAACATTTTTTAAATAATTTGTTTATTTAAGTCAAGTCAAAGTCTAGTTTTCAGTGCCCAACTTTTAAGAATTGTATTTCTTTAACAAAAATTTTGAAATTGGATAACCTAAATACCATACCTACCATAGCCCACCAACCAAAGTCTGCCCAAAAGATAAACTTAGTCAAATATTATTAATTTTGTAAAGCTAGTTTGTCTTACTACAAAAATAATTCCTGATGCTATTATTAATGCTAAAACTAAACCATAAGAGGTTCTTTAATTTTGCAAAAAAACTTAGATTAGCTCAAGGACATAACTCATGTTATAAATAAGCCCTTCACATAATCTTTCTCAATTCCACTTTCTCAATGGCCACTTAAAGTAGCCAATAATCTTGGTCAACAGTGTGAGCAACTGCCTCTATTCACACCCACCAACCCTGCCAATTCATAATCCTCAAAAAAACCTATGCCTCAAAGATATGCCTGCTTCCGTTGGAATCCCATTCCTGAACCCCCTTCAAATGTCCTGGCCACGTTGCTAATACGACGCGTTGGCCTAACCCTCATAAGCATAAAGCAAACAGCCAAACAGTTGCAACTCAGCCAAAAGCTATAATAAAGTTGCGGAAGTAAACAGCAAAGCGAAATAAACAAGAAGCAGGACGAGGAAACAGGACGAGCTGGAAAATGAAATGAAAGTCAACAGAACAGCAGCGGGATTTTCGCTTTCGAAAGGGATACATGAAAAGCAGACTTTGGGGCAGACAATTTCACAGACAAGACGGCGGCACAATAACAACAGACTCATCTCCGATATTAAATTTCTGAAAATGCCCGATCTGTGCTGCGTTTTACTATTTAAACAAAGCGATTAAGGGTGCGCAGCTAGCGAATAAAAGCAGCATCCACATTGATTGACGTAAATGAAGAATAATCGAATTGCTCGCTCATAAAACTCTAAACTAAGTGGCGGCGTTGTCAGGCGGCTCAAGTGTCAGTCCGCGTACCCACCGTGCACAGTGGATTAAGCTGACTATTTGCTAAATAAATATATATAGGAAAAAAACTTTAAACAAGTATTAAAGGCTTTTATATTTAAATCTAGATAATCTTTTTTTAATTTAAAGCTAAATGTTTGCTGTTAGCTATGAGACAGAAAAACTACTCATCATCAGAACTAAAAACTATTTATCATTTTGTTGACAGAAGAAATGAATTGGTCTATTTAGGTTTATTAGGTTTGCGAAAAAAAACACTGCATACTTACCTAATATTTTTCTATTTATTCCTTCTTTTATAGGTTTTTCCAAAATTTTAAAAAAGGTTTCCTAAAAACCACTGTGACTAAATCGCACTCATAAATTGTCAGCAAAAAAGTGTCAAACTAGAGTTGACAGTCCCCCGGACGGAGTTTCATCCTGTGATCCTGGAATCGGGGGAAATCTGTCCCGGCTTCAGTTCCCATCGCACGTCAGCGGTAATTAGTGCAGCTTCGGCCGGAAGTCGACTTCAATTTCATTGCGCCAGCATAATCATCATTATCCTGTTGGTCCTGTTTAGTCCTCCAAGCCATCTCCCGTTGTCTTTGCCTTTTGCACTAATTACAAAATAACTTTTGCAGCTTTGTCATCTTTGTGTATATATTTTTTTCGGGGGATTCCCCATGGTGTCTATGATGTATGGCTTTTCGTTGTCTGATTTATGGGTGGTTTTTGGGAAGGGGTATCTACGGATTACCGTCAGTAAAAGGGTTTCACGCGGTTTTAATTACCAGCAGAAACTGTGACGACTTTAAAGTGGTTGAATTTCAACTCGGAATCCGCAAAAGTATGCCAGTGGTTTTCCTAAAGTTTCAAGGGAAAATCGAGGCTGGAAATTGATGAGCTTCTGTGGATCCAGCCGACTCATGCTGTCAATCCACATGTCCACCCACTCAATCACAAAACTAAACGCTGCGCTCGTCGATAAGCGTGCCACATAGTAAGAGTAATAAAGCGAAACTTTGGGAATGAGGGGAGGTTGCAGGTCGGGGGTTAAGAGTGGTGTGTCTCTGCCCGAAAACGATTTCTGAGATTTAATATTTATTTTTGTTTGTGTGCAAATAGCTGGAAGCGTCTGAGATATCGAGGAAACTCCGGGGGAGGGTGATAATACGGGGGAATACGAGATGTCTGTTCCATGGGAACTTCTACTTTAATCGCCAAAGTCTTGCAAAATTTTTGAAATTTATATAACTCCTTAGAATATCTTTTATCACACTATTCAATATTAATTCTTATAGTTTCATTTTTATACCCCATATACGAAGATAGCTTCCCTTCCTAATTAGCATATGCTTCCATTTAGGACTCAACTCTTTGTCAGTCACAACAACAACGAAATCCATTAGGGTCATAGAAGAAATATTTATTCATTCGAAATACATTTTTCTCTTCGCTTGCCGCACAACAATAAAAGCGGAATACAAAAGGCGAAAAGCGTCAGTCAGTGCAACTTTATTTCAAGCTAGAATGCACAGGCACTCCATCCACAACACCGCCCACTTGCCCCTCCCATTTACCACACTATAAAAAATATAAAATATGTTAAAAGAAACTCCCGGGAATTTTACATTTACGAATTTTAAGGAAAAGTTAATAATTGGACTACAAAGATATATTTTCTAGACAGAAAATTTAAGGAAACATATTTCAAAATAATTTAAATTATCAATTTATTGAATTATTGAATTTAAAAATATAGTTATTAATATAAATATGAGAATATTTCATTAAATACTTACAAAAAAGGTTCAGAAAACGTAATACTTTTTATAAATATTTATAATACTTACAATACTTATAAAAAAATATTTTAAGCGGATTTGTTTCAGGGTTTCATACAGAAATATCTTAGTTCTTCGAGTAGGTTTATATATTAGAGAAATATATTTTTTTTGAGTGTAGAAATCCCTGTGGCAGGCGGCATACCGGAAGCAAATGCTTTTGTCGCCCGGCGTGTGCCGCTCACTGTTGTTGCTTTCGTTTTTTGTGTTTTACCCTCAAAACGCATGAATATACTCATAAATGAGTATCTGAATCTTTAGAATGCCTTGATTAATGTTGGCGCACGTTGGCTTTTACCCCTACCACCGTTGAATAAGGGTGAACGAGAGCAGGCAATAAAAATGTTGTCACACATCATTTAGCAGCAGCGGGCAGTCCCAGCTAGGATCCCCAGTTTTGAAGGCTTTAAATCGTTTATAATAAATTTATTATAAATTTCAAAAAACATTTCAATTCGCCGGTGGACACCTGATACCCCTCTTGGCCAACTCCCCCAAAAAAGAGTCGTTGCCATTGCCTGCCAGGCATCATAATGAATCTAATCACTTACGCTCGAGTGCATCAATTATGCTGCCATCAAGGATCACAAGGACGAGGCGGACGGGCTGACAAAATGACTCCAGGATGGAGTGACAGGCGTGGACCCTCCGGAACAGAAGCGACGACGTGCCCATTGTTAACTGCGAAAATTTGTTTGCTACGTCATCGCAACAACAAGCTCGTCAAGTTTATAACTTTATGATGCTGTAAACATACATACACATTTATACACCCCTAAAAAGTGGTCATAGAAAATCTGCAAATCTG